TGCATTTATGCAATGCAATATTAAGTTGCCTTAAGCAGACCAGCAAATAATTAGTTGTAGGGTTTATGTGCTGCAGTTAAGGCTATTCTTTATTTCACCAGCTTACCAACTGAAGAAGTAGAAAATTAAAAATACCTTTGGGTTCTGTTGTAGCAATTAATGCAGATCAAAGATCACGCTGGAGAGCCTGGTTGTTGACGCAATTAGACTTTATTCTTTTCAGAATTAAGCCGAGCAGTTGTCTACAGACAAAAGCTGCCCATCTCTTCAAAAGAGCATTCTTATATACATTTACCTGAAAAATCTTCTACATCCTGTTTTTAACAAGACACATACTCTCATACATGTGTATCCTGTTTTTAACAAGACACAAGGTTACCCCATATGCTTATCTTATTGTTTAAGGAAGCCTTACTCACTTAAATTTACAGCTTGTTCCAGTTTCCCACTTCATGCAGGATTCCCATGCATATGTGAGGTCATACAGGTCATTTTTAGGCCTCGCTTTCTCAGCATACACTTCCTGTTCCATGCACACAGTTCTAGTCAGCAAGTCTTTTACTGAGATACTGGGTACAATGATTTTGCACTATACCAGTTCCATACATCTATAACATTGAGGATTAAACATTATCAAAAATGAGTACACATTTTATGGTTAACATTTTGTGGTTAAATTATTCTATAGTTCTTGTTCATATAGAACCATGAGAAGTCAGTGTGTGATTTTATTGGTCTGTCTGATTATTTTTTGTCACTGAAGGTTTAGGTTTTTAGGTTTTAACTTTTGAGAAGGGCTAACATTAAACATGAAGTACTAAAGCTCACCTGAACTGCTGTTACAAATAGGGCCCAAATTTAACCCAATATTCACTAAGACATGAATCCATGCAATAGAAACTTCAGCCATTACTTTTCAGATGCTGTAACTCTGTCTGTGAACCTGGTATTCAGTAGCCACTGTTATACTTGGGGTAATGCTTGGGTGGTGACTGCACATAAAACCAAAAGAACTATGATGCCTTGTGATGCCTTACAACCTGAAAAAAAAACATTTTAACTGGTTAGATTCAGTCTCTATTTTATTTTATTGACTCATGTAAGATGAAATCAGAGCATCAGAAGCATTAAATTGACCCCTAAGATAATTTGTAGTTGTATGTTGATAAAAAAAAAAAAGCCATTCAACTCCCCTTCTATCAATTATTTTACTGATTATATTCTTCAGTAGTATAATAATTAAAAAAAAAAAAAAGCATGTGCATGTTTTTCCCCAAAGGTTGGCGCCAGACCCTAATGCAAACCTGTAGGGTTAATTAACTAAGGCCAATGGGACCCTCTGACATTTCCCAGCCTCCCCAGGGGCTCTCATTAGGAACAGCAGGCAAAGGTCAACCCAACCAAGAACACTGCTGAAAAACACAATCTGTTTTGGGACTAATTTAAATTAGTCCACAGAGATGGTTAGAAAAGTTCAAGATGTAGAAAACAGTTTCTTTGAACCATTTTTCTCCTATTAGGTTTGTTGTGTTCTCATGGTACTTCAGCATTTGATTTCGTGTGGAGACTGACAACGCTGCAACTGAGGCACTGGTGTTGATCAAATGCAAGTTTAGCACAGGAGAAAGTTATAATGAGGATGAGCATTTGCCTTAACTCTTTAACCTTACATTATGTTTGGATGAAACTAAGAGTGGATCAATTACTAAGTTACAAAGGAACATTGTTAATAGTGAAACAATAGTGAAGTGGAAGATATACTTAACATACATAACTCAAATTCTTTAATTGACTTGAAATATATATATATATATATATATATATATATATATATATTACTGAGATTATGCTGTTGACATTTGCTGTTATAATGCCCTCCATTCTTATGGGAAGGCTTTCCACTAGATTTTGGACCTCTGAACAGGCAGATTGGAATTCATGCGACTTTCATGTCAATCCCACTCGACATTCATCATAATTTCATGCTACCGAGATGGGGGATAACAGTGAAGGAGGATTTCATTGGCAGGATAGTGAGGCAATGGACCTCATAAACATTTGGGGTGATGTGGCTGTACAAGCAAAATTAGAAGGCACATATCACAATTGCCCCATGTTAGAAGAGATCTCAAAAGAAATGGCCAAATATGGCCATAAGAGCACCTGGCTGCAGTGCCAAAGGAAGGTTAAAAGTTTAAAAGAAAAATTTTAAGAAACCAAGTACGCGAACCAAAGAAGTGGCCATGGCCGAATAACATGCCGTTTTTACAGCAAGCTTGAATGCATCACGTGACACATTGTTCCTTTAATGTCAGATAGAGGCCACATTGACAACATAGTGTGAACAGCCTAACAAAAAAAATCGGATTTGGTCAGTAAATCAGATTTGGGCCACTTTTGCCTGCTTTGTAAACATAGCCTTTTTGAGGTCAGGCACTTCTGTCAGACAAGAAGAGCTGGAGTGCAGTCTGCATTCCATTTAATCCCAAAGGTGTTCAGTGAGGTTGAGGTCAGGGCTCTGTGCAGGCCACTCATGTTTTTCCACTCCAACCTTGGCGCACCATGTCCTTATGGACCTCGCTTTGTGCACAGGGGCACTGTCATGCTGGAACATGTTTGGGTCCCTTAGTTCCAGTGAATGGCAACTGTAATGCTACAGCATACAAAGACATTCTATACAATTGTGTGCTTCTCAATTTGTGTCAATAATTTGGGGAAGGCCCACAAACTTTTGGCCATATAATATAAATGAGATGAAATCAGATTGAGGATACTATGATAAATGTTACAACTGTGTCACTATAAATTCAAATGCAATGGCCTAGGTCAATGGGTGAACAGATAATAAGGATTAAAAATAGTTTATAAAAACTTATGTTACAAAAAGGACATTTCACATAAACTCCAATACAGTATACATTCATGAAGTGTCATTCACATGAAGCTGGTATGACTTATTCAATTATACAGTTCAAGGCCATTTTTCACTTTTTCATAAATGTACAAAATTTCTAAAATATTCATACAATAGCCACCTAAAGAGCAACAAATTAATTTTAACCATTCTTAATATTCAACAAACAGCAAATCACAAAGTTTCATCTTTATTTCATTTTGTCAATAAGAAATTCTCATTACAAAATTGGTTATTAGAAAGCACAGAGATCAAACTTAAAAAAAAAAAAAAAGTAGAAAGTAGAAAAAAAGACTCACAAGGAGCTCTTAGTGAAACTGGTCATTGGTCCTGTAGATATGTGCACCATTTTGTAAACTATAACTGAACCAGGTCATTTCAAAGCAGAAATATTGAAATGTTTTTAGTGTACTTGAGTATAGATGGCTTCAGAATTAACACAATTCAGTAATCAGTCTATTATCTATATACAGATAGGTGACAAATTAAAAAGGATCTGATCAACCAGCTGATCACTTTTATCCTATTTTTTTCCCTCATGGAGATGGTCTCTTCCCAGTTGACAATGTCTCCATCTACAGGGCATGTGGGCTCACTAAATGGGTTGATGAGTATGAAAATGATAAAAAATCATATGCTATGGCCTTTCACAGCAGGTCATAGCTCAAATGAACACCTATAGGTGACTTTGGACTGTTCTAGCCAAGTCTATTCCCCATTATCAAAACACTAATTGAGGGAATACAGTATCTTTTGGATGGAGTGTCATCCCTCTAATAGAGTTCCAAAGACTTACAGAATCTATTTGAAGACATATTGAAGCTGTAATGGTGGCTTGTGGTGACACTTTACTCTGACACTTTTTGTTGCTTTTTCCTTTAATCTGTCATCTGTCTTTATATCTAAGTACTTTCTATTTAAATGTATTTGTCATTTAAGTCAAAAAGCATTATAAAAACTTGAAATTGAGTTGAATGTATAAACTGTACACCATAGAGCAGTGCTAATATGATACAAAATTGATCATAAATATTTTTAATAACTATAAAAAAAGGGAGGGTATAAACAGGGTACAATGAAAACTGCATCTAGCATGGACTCCAGTGCATGTATCATCATGCACAGTGATTCGTAATGTAAATGCAGTATATATGTTCTATACCCACAGATCTTTGGTTATGTAAAACTTGTTTTGGAGTCATCACTAAGTGCCTCCCAAAAGGAGCTCATCCCCGTCATCTTAGTCTTGCAGATGATGTAATAATCTCATTTCCTTTTGAGCAGCTGCTTCTCCAGATACTCCATTCGTGTAGTCATTGCTGACAGTGATACAATTAAGGACCCAGAACAGTGGTAAAATACCTGTTACCTGTGATTCTCTGAACTATGAATAAACTTGGATACCTGATACCTTTTTGTGTACATACTCATATATGCAGTGATCTCTCAACAGTGTCACATAATGATGTAGAAGTTGCAGTAAACGCATACCAGGCATAGCAAGGTATGCTCTGAAAGTTAGCCTTAGCAAAAAAAAAAAAATTAATGCTGCAAGGTCAATTAACTGATTCACAAAATTTGGCACAAAATTCAAAATGATTCACAAAGACTTTGGGCAGGAAACCCAGGTTCCTTGTAAGGAAGGGCCTTAATGCACTTTTAGATTTGTCAGTGTCGAGGCAACGAGCACATAACTTAGCAATGTAATCAGACTCTGTCTGCACGAGTGTGACGCTTGCTACATAGCTTCTTATGTTATGTTGTTATGTTATGTTATGTCATAGGAAGGGAAAACATAGGAAATGCTGCCTTGAAGTTAGCGGGCATCCTACAAATATCCTACATTTATACCAGGTAAGGAGAAGAAGGGGAATGATGGCTGTATGACAGTGGTTGTTGTTGTTCTTTTAGCTGCTCCTGTTAGGGGTTGCCACCATGGATCATTTGTCTGTGTATTTGATTTTTTTGATTCTGGCAGTTTTTAATGCCAGAAGCCCTTCCTTGTGCAACCCTCCCCAGTTTTGTCTGGGCTTGAGACCGGCACTGAGAGCGCACTGTTGCATACAACCCCAGTTGCTGGGGTTGGTTCCCTGGGTGGGAATCGAACCCAGGCTGCAGTGCTGAGAGTGCTGTAACCTAACCGCTAGTCCTTGAGGGACCCAGCTGTATGATAGTGGTATTTATTGGAAATACTGCATCATACAATACTACATAACTTTGTTAAAAGGTCACGACTGTATCCAGGACCATCACTGGTCAATGCTGAATCAGTTTTTTGATCAGTATTCTGTCCTCTGTCCCTCGAAATGATGCTCATGATGATAATATGATAAATCATTTGTTTGCCATGCATAGATAGTTGATTCAATTCTCAAAACAAGGCCTTTTTGGAAACAAAAAACACTTGTCATGGTATGATAACAAATCCATGGGCCCACATATCCTTGTATAGGATACAAAATACAAAATAATAATGCATTGAGTGATAAAATCTAAATCACTATAGAACCGTCACAAATCTAGCTGGCTACCATCACTTTTTCTACCACACAGTATTGTACTGCCATCTTCAATAGCAGTGTCTGACAACATTCTCACTGTGTACAATGGAAAACTGAAAAAGTTTCATGTGGTCAGAGGAGCAGAACCAGCTATTTCCAGTATTTGCTGTAAGTAGGGGTCCAGCAGTTACAGTTAAATGATGGCACAAAAAAGAAGAAACTGAAACCACATTAAGCTAAATTAACTCCTACTTACACTATGCAATGGGAAATGGACACAGGTACTTACCAGGCTATAGTATTATAGTAATATTATACTAATTTGTAACCATACCAACATGCCAAATTGTCATGTCTGATGGTAAAACACTATTACAGAATCAGACACTCATATTACAGACTTCTTTATAGAACGGCGTTTGGCTTAAATGAGTTGGACGATGTAAAAAAAAAAAAAAAAAGTCTTCCACTTCCAATTATTAATGCACCTAAATTTAACTCTAACCTTAATCTGAGTAAGCAAATGGAAAAAAAAATACTCTCCTATCCTTGTAGGAACGCGCACACACACGAAAGTAAAGATTTATTGTAAAAATTTTAGTTGCTTAGACACAGACCTAAAAAAGGATATGTTTCTGGTTGAGCTGGTTCAGAGTGACCATGGTAGCCTGCTGGAACTCCACAAGACTATCACAGGCACAAGGGTCCTTCACTTCTATTTCTCCCTGACTCTCCTCTGCAAACACATGAAGAAAGAAAGAAAGAAAGAAAGAAAGAAAGAGGAGAACACATTTCATATTTCATATTTCAGTAGCTTTGATATTGGAATATATGAAATTTCATTATTAAACCTATATCCAGTACATATGTGTTTATTGTCCTGTGTTTTAGAACACATGCCAACAAACACAATGTCCTCCAGATGGTGCTAGAGAATAATTTATCAGTGGTGACAGAACTCGGCCTCATTCATCTCATATACTGTATACTCTGCTTGGTTTCAAAGGTGTATTCATGTTTATCCTACTCTCTTTGTTTTAGAGACCAGAGACTATCTTTTTCCATATACCTGGACAGACATTGAGTTTAAGGTTCTCTGCAATCTGGTTAATAGCGGTGAAGTCAGAGGTGTAGAAGAAATGTTTCTCCACTGGCTCAGAAGCAATCTCTCTCAGCTCATCCTCTACAGCTTTGCCCACACCAACAGCATACATTGTAATTCCTGTAAAAGATCATATATGTAACTCTTCAACATTAATATCACAAATAGTGAAAAATCAACATGTGGGGGACGCTTATGGCAGTTTTATGAAGATATGTGTAGTAGTGAACAAGGTGACTGGATTCATATTTATGCTGATGTCTTGCAGCAACATTAGTACTTCATTAGCCCTTCAGACCGGGCTGATACAGATTAGTATTTGAGCAGTGGTGGCCAACTGTACCAAAACATATATCACGCTCGAGTTTGAATCTGTCATTTTACCTAGATCTCTGTGAGCAAGCTATGTAAGGACACCCTGAGCTTACCCTGGCCCTCACATACCCAAGGTAGCCTACTGGTGCCAACTGTCATTAAAGGTAAGAGATTTTTTGCCTTGACACAGAGACATTTGCTCATGTTGAGTAAAAATGTCATTCTATTTTAGCAGCTGAGATGGGATTTATCTGTTGGGGCATTGATATGAAGTGTTTGGACACATGTTGGGTGTGTTATTTGTGCATTGGAAGTCTCAATATAGTCTCAAATAGCGTATTTCATGAGTGTTGAAAGTACAAACACATTAACCCTACAATAGGTAATCTCAGTATTGTGATTAACACAGATTAACACTGATTAACATCTCTGTGTTTTGCAGTTTTGGACTGCAACTCACCTGCTTCCTTGGCCTTTTTGGCCCACTCCGTTATGTCATCCTGAGAGCGTCCATCAGTAAACACCAGCCCAATACGAGGTACATTTCTTGAGGCAGTACGCGCACCCTCAGCCTCAGAGAAGCTTTCCTGCACCATGTGCTTTAGTGCTAGCCCTGTCATGGTTCCTTTCTCCATGTAGGCTACTTTCATCACAGCTGCCTTGATCTCTTCCTTGCTCTTGTACATATTTAATGGGAACTCAGTCCTCACTCTGCTGGAGTACTGGACAAGACCCACACGTGTCCCATGAGCAGAGATATCTAGTTGGTCCACAACCTGGTTGACAAACTTCTTGACGAGCTCAAAGTTTTGTGGCCGTACACTCTTAGAGCCATCAATCAGGAGAACCAGGTCAATGTTGGCTGATCTGCAGCCTAAAATTGAGGGAATGTATATTAATGATAACAAGACAAAAGTGAAAAAGAAAAAAAAACACATCTAAAACTTCTCTTGAGCAGTTCTGTATTTTGTTCTGAAGGAAAATCCGTAGGTTGCTTTATTTAAATCAAACCAGGCTTAAACAGGGAGAGTAAAATATTTAGCCTGAATATTGATTTGCTGTATGCAGTACATACTTCCACAGCTCTTTCCATCTTCTTGTAGAAGATGACCCTCGGGACAGATACAGTGGTATGATCCTGGTGTACTCACACACTGGTGCTGACAGCCATGCTCTACTACATTACACAGGTTGTCCACTAGAAAAAAAAACAAGCAAGCAAACAAACAAAGCAAACAGACAAGTGACTTAAGGAATTCTTGATAAGAAAATTGTTTGGAATTTACTGCATGCAATGGCTGCCATAGCTACAAACTATGCTAAAAATGTGTGCATTTATAAAAGCTATTGTGATTGTGTATAACAACAATCATGTCAACAAATCTTCTTTTCAAATTATGAAGTAATTTGTAGTATTTCAAGAATATTACATTTAGAATGATAACATTTAGACTGTTGTTCTTCATGTAGTTTTGGTACAAGTGTGACAAAGAAACGTTATAACATACAGTATATGGAGCTTGGAAGCTGACAAAAGGGGTTAAGATTTTACTTTAAAACAAATAATTCAAAATTATGGGTTAGAGTAACAATACAGAACAGAAGCATAAAAAAGCTACACATTTTAAAAATTCAAATCTCAAAACTACAGATTTTAATTAAATTGGGTGAAAGGTGAAGCATCTGAGCTTCCTAGGAAAAAGTAAACACTTTTGGAGTGGTCAGCCAAGCTCATGTCCATGACTGTTAAGTAAAGTAAAGAGACATGAATAGCCAAACTTGCTATCTTGAGAAAATGTAATTTTAGTCATAATAAACATTTTTAAACAGTAAAATTAATCATTTTAATGTCAAAAGAGAAAAAAAACACTGGGAAACCTTTAAACTTCGAAACTGGATGACTTTATGTCTGTGATGATTCTGAAAATGTATATGATTACTGCAAAACTTTCCTCAAAGTAAAAATTTAAAATCAAGTGTTGATATATCGCTTTAACATGGGCTCTCAATCTATTTTCTGAGAATCTGTCATAAAAATCTGACATTGGTCCATACATACCCTGACAGGTCTTTCCATCCCCTTGAAGAGTGTATCCCTCATTACAGAGGCAATGGAATCCATTTAATACACTCACACATTCTTGATCACAGCTGTGATTCCCAAATGAACAATAGTCAATCACTGGAAGGACAAAGACAGAACAGACTTCATGAGGTTTTATGGAAATGAACAGTTGGTGACTGCATATGTATCAAAAGAGGTGTTAAACTGTACGATTCCTTGTCGGTGGGATGGTAGCCTCAAGTGTACACCATTTGTGTCTACAGGTAATTACAGTCAAATTATGTACCTTAATCTTAATCAAGGAAAGGTACAGCCTAGATGAGCCGTACTTGCTCACTGAGTGATTGAACCCCCTAGTTAAAAATGTGTATGAGTTGCTGGGTGTAAAAGTTACTGTTGTACCACAGACATCCATACACTCAGTGGTGATATACACCTAAAAGTTGGACAAGCTAATGTCTTAAGAGAAATTGCAAGGAGTATCAAGTAATTTTGCTCCTGTGTAATTGTTTTATCCCACCATTTTCATCCCAGTTTTGCACATGTAACATGTCTCCAGGGATGGAAATTCTTGTTGTTTGGTTAGTATACTTAAGTATTATTTTGGTGTATATTTATAATTCACTTGAGTGTTGTTGAAATTAAATATTTGTTCTTTTAATTACAAATTCAAGACAAAAAAATACTTTTTACTTCTTGCATTTTTATTTAAACCTTCAAACTATGCGTTAGGAATTTCAAAGGTCTCTTCTTCTCTCATCTAGTCAGTGACTGTATGCTATAAGTCAATAGAATGGTCTCCAGTGCATTTTATTTACAGTTCTTGAATTTTAAAGCATCCAAGCACGCCTATCCATCTAGAAAAACTATCAAAATTAGTGCCCGTTCGTCATCTGCAGTTATGTTCTTGTGCTACGCGATGAAGTTAATACTGTAGCTATCCATGTGTGTTTGAAGATGGATAAGCCACTGGATCAGCACCCCTGGCCCTATCTCAGTAAAATGTTTCAATATGCTGGTAGAAGCAAAGATAAAAAGAGGGGTATCCTTTGCCATGAACATCTAGTTTGAAAAAGCATTTAAGGTAGGAGCAATGGGAGGGTGAACGGCAGTAGTGGCATGGTGTGGTGTGGTGTGGCGTGGCATGTTGTTTTATGTTGTTTTGTTTTTATCGT